GCACATGAGATAGATTCCTAAATTGGTTAAACAAAGCATATGCAGTTAATATATTTTTAAATAAAACATACACAATATCGAACTATGAGATGTCGCAGAGACGTAGTATTGTAGTTAGTTAATTATAGGTATACCCTTTTATTTTTTAATTACAGTTAATGAGTTGTTTGATTTTCTTTTTTAACGAAATTAATTAAAATTATTTATAGCAATAAATTTCAAGTTTAAAGTTCTTCTTAATAGACACATATCACACGCGTTTGCAAACCTTCATATGATACTACAATATGTAGATACTTTAATTAGTTACTTTATAGTGGTCTATGTTTACCGCATTAACCGAGATTGAAGTTCTTTTTGTTTTAAACTCCATAGTATTTGGTATCATGAAACGTTAGTAACATAATTAAAATGTAACTTTAAATTAAAATTTCTACAAAGTTGATATTGTATCTTGTATCTTTTCTTTGACACTAAACTACAGTATCCGCATTTCTTATTCTGGCATTGTGACAAATGGACAGACAAACTTATTGTATACTTTGTTAAAGTTGAAGTTTGTTGATTAATGTGTCACGCAGTTTTACCCTTGACTTTAGGTGTATCTCAACCGGGAGCTTGCAATAAAACGCAGCAATGCAATATTTCAAAAACCAAAGATAATAATAAGAATAGACTGCAAAAAATGGCTGTTTGAGTTTGAAAAGTTTTATTAAGACACTTTAAGTTCCTGCACTTCTGTTAACTTATTTCAGGCAGTTAAGTAAAAGTTCCTGTGGCAATTGCAAAGTCTTAGTCTTCGCTAAGTACTCGTATTTTCACACATACGTAAAATAAAGCATTGCAGGTTCTTATCCATTATTCATATATAGTAAGATTACTGCATTTTAGATTCGTTAGTACTTTTTGTAGTTGAGATTTTATTCAGGAACCAGTTAATTTGTTTAATTTATGCTTTAATCCTTTATGCCTCATAAATGCTTCAGATCCTTTCCCATCATTCAGAAGTCAACGAGAGTTTCTTCGCAGTTTATTTTTCGCTTAAATTTTTCCGTTGTCTTAAATTTAATTCTGATTTTGACTGTCGCGTTTCTGTTTCCGTTTCCCCATTATTTTTATGAAGTTTATTATAAACTCGTCTAAAGTTTTCTTTGCAATTATGCGCCAAAATGCAAAAATCATTCCTTGAAAATTTTGAGGTTTTCTATGGGAAATGTTGCAGTTGTACGACATTTAGTTGACATTCAGCTCCAAGTTTTAGACCATTTTAATGGAAAATAATGTAGAATTTAATATCATAGTTTATAGTGGTAAAATCTTAACCGTTAAAATCGAATAAGTTTTCAACTTTGGATAATAATATTTCTAAAAATTTTGAAAGTTTTCAGATGAAAAAAAAATATCAAAAATAGCTGTTAAGTATAGTATAAAGCAGTGCAAGTATCTGTCCATTAGATAAGCTACTTTGAGAGTTTTCGCTGGCCACTTACTCGCATATGAAAGTAGATGCATTTGTCACCATTTGAAAACAAGGATTTCATTTAAGATCGAATAAAAGTAATAAAATTTATTACTGCAAAACAAAAAGTTTATGAATAAAATTTCAAACTACCATTTTTCGCTTGTAATTGGTTTCGTTGAAGTTTGTTATTTTGTTAGTAGTAAAACAATCAAAATAAATATGAACTTTGAATTTAATAAAAGACTGGAAAAGAAAAAGTGAAAAAAAATTAAAAAAGTGTAGTGTATTTATTAAAAAATACGGCAACCCTTGCGAAGTGCAACTTCACAATGTTGTCATTTATCAAAGTCAGCAAAAAGTATTTTTCAAAAAAAAATAATAAAAAACAAAAAAATGAATAAATGGAAAAATATATATTAATAAAAATAAAATGGAAAAAATATTACATCAGCAAACATTTCAATAAAAACAAACTTCTCCCACAGCAAAAGTCCTTTTTTGCGAGCAGCCGAACAACGAAACTCAAAGGTGGAAGTTGCAGGAATTCCATGTTGCACGCAAATCAATGTTAAACGTAAATAAAGGATACGCTAGGAAACTAAATATTAAATGAAATAAAATGTTTTAGAGCATGAAATCGAATTTAAGCCAGAAAGCATTCTTCCATTGCCTACCATACGGTTGACACATAGGAACCCAACTTGTCATATTTTTTGGATTAAGGATAGATATATACGTATACTAATATATATTTGGTTTTAAATAAAATCGAAAAGTACATACAGGTCTTAATAATCATTATTTTTTTTTGAAAATTCATAACATAAATATAATATACCTACAAACATTTATAAGATTCAGTAATAAAAACCATTAACCGTTTCTGTAAGGTTCTATGAGATCTTGATATGTGTCTGATGTTCCCACTACCATTTTCGATTATCGGTTATAAAGAAGTTATTGCATTGTGCCCGATTAATGTTTTCAAAATAATTATCATCGTCGGTCTAACAACAGCCGTTTGATCTTGGTTTCAATTACAAGCTGATGTCATCGAATTGGTCACCCTTAGGCTTCAGGCGTCCTGATGCACACTGTTCTACTAGCGCAAAAACATTGTGCTTCGCTGTCACATACCAAATAATCAGCCAAAAAAGGTTTGATCATCCAAGAAAATAAGTCCCCTTTAAACATTTTCATTCAAGGGTATGGGCACATTAATCCGCAACTTCCTTTATATTAAAAATGGAAAATGGTTGTGTTAACTTCACACCTAAATAACAAATACTTTTTTAAGTAGTATCTTATTTTAGAGACTACTTGTGCTATATTAAAGCACAATTATCTTAAAAATCTAAAGTTGAAAGCTTTAAATACTCAAAAACACCTCAACTACAAATATCTCTAGTATTATTATGAGGAGAAAAAAATTCCACAATCTTAAAATCTATTGTATACCCTTCATGCGTTTCTGTGTCTCTTTGAGTCGCATTAATGTTTCTTTAATTTAAGTAGTAGTACGGAACATCTTTTCAGTAAGTGCTTCAAGATCGCCTTTTCCTCTAAGAAAAACAATTATTAACTGTTAAACATTAAATATAAAACCAATTCCTTATTTTTAGGTGAAAACTCAATCCTGTTACTGAAATTCCTGTTATGTTATTGATCAATTATTTGCAAAGTTCAAACAGTTATTTTGTTTGTGATAAAACTGGAATGTTTGCTTAGTATAGCGTTTTTTCTTTCCCTCATTTCTAGGTAACAAAATATTGTACTGATACGTTTTGGGCCTGTACAGAATGCACTGCTTCCTTCTTTGCAAAATTGTCTACCGTTCGCTATCCTTTAATCCAAACAATCCAGGAATTCAACAAATAAATTCCAACAAAATAAACCACGGTTGCTTAATTTGGACAATTTTTATTAACTTCATAATGCTACTTTTAATTATAATTATAATTTTTATGTGTTATGACCAGAACTCTATTTCGATAAAAAAAGGTGTAATAGTAAAACGTTTCAATTGGCATATTCAAAAATTTAATTTTTAATCAAGTCAGTTCTTGGGCTGACCTTCTGGTACTGCGAAATATCCTTTGTCAGTTGTCTTTAGCAAAAACACAGTAGATATTTCAGAAGAACACTTATGTTGCTGAATGGACTTAAGTAGCCTAATTACTGCCTGACACTTAATGCCTGTTGTAATATTAATATGATGGAACAATTCTCATCCTTATGTACAAAAAGGAAATACATTTATTTATCCAAAATTTATCACAAGGATATCATCAAAACAGTTTGTGTAGAGTAAATGATATTAATTTTGATTCTACTTTTTAGACGATGACGCTTTCATGAAATTAAGTGCACTTCCCGCAAAAAACCATTTGATTTGGGGTTCATTCATCGTATGATTTAATTGTACTTTTTCTGACTTACCATCGGTCTTAATTTCACACTCAATAGGTTTTCCTGGAGACATGTCTTTTAAGCCAAGTAAAGATATTTTACTTGTCGGTTGCACCTTATCATAGTCAGAAGCATTTTGGAAAGTTAATGGCAACATGCCCTGTTTTTTTAAATTCGTTTCATGTATGCGAGCGAAGGACTTCACAATAACAGCACGACCACCTAAGTGTCTTGGTTCAAGTGCAGCATGTTCACGTGAGGAGCCTTCTCCATAGTTGTCGTCACCGATAGCCACCCATTTTATTTTGTTAGCCTTGTAGTCACGTGCTACATCCGGCACAGCACCCCATTCGCCAGTTCGTTGATTCTTGATCTTATTCAATTCATTATTTTCTATATTAATAGCTCCAATAAAGAGATTATTTGATATATTGTCTAAGTGGCCACGAAACTTAAGCCAAGGCCCAGCAGCTGATATATGATCAGTAGTACATTTGCCTTTGACCTTGATAAGTACGGTCATATCAATCAAATCATTACCGTCCCATTTATCAAACGGTTGAAGCAATTGCAAACGTTGACTTTTGGGATCAATATCCACATTTATACCGCTCCCATCAGCGGGTGGTTCTTTGTATGTGTCCACGCCGGGATCAAACCCCTTTGCAGGCAATTCTTCACCATGGGGTGCTTTTAACTTAAATTTTGAGCCGTCTTTACCTGTGAGTTCGTCTTTAATGGGATTGAAATCTAGACGGCCAGCGATGGATAACGCTGTTACAAGTTCTGGACTTGTCACGAATGCATGTGTAGCAGGATTGGCATCATTGCGTCCAGTAAAATTGCGATTATATGAGGTAACTATAGTGTTTTTCTCACCTTTTTTCACATCCTTGCGATCCCACTGTCCAATACAAGGACCACACGCATTTGCCAAAACCGTCCCACCAAAATCAGTTAGTACCTTAGATATACCATCTCGTTCTATTGTGGCACGTATCTGCTCTGAGCCAGGAGTTACATTGAATTTTATTTTTGATTTCAGGCCATGTGCCATTGCATCTTTAGCAATGCTGGCACAACGTCCCATGTCTTCATACGATGAATTGGTACATGATCCAATTAGGCCAACTTTAATATCCATTGGATAACCATTTTTTTTGGAATTCTCACCAAGCTTACTTATAGGGTGCGCCAGGTCTGGTGTGAACGGTCCATTGACATGAGGTTCCAGTTTGCTCAAATCGATTTCAATCAATTGATCATACTCAGCTTCTTTATCAGCCGAAAATAATGTATTTTTGTATTTTTCTGCTTCTTCGGCAATTTTAGCACGGCCTGTGGCTTTCAAATACTTACTCATACGATCATTAAAGGGAAACAACGATGTGGTGGCACCAATTTCTGCTCCCATATTACATATGGTACCCATCCCAGTGCAAGATATAGATTCAATTCCTTTTCCATGATATTCTATAATCGCACCTGTACCACCTTTCACTGTAAGTATGTCAGCTACTTTTAATATAACATCCTTTGGAGATGTCCAGCCGCTGAATTTGCCAGTTAAAAGTACGCCAATCACTAGTGGGCACTTAAGTTCCCAAGGAATATTGGCCATTACATCCACTGCATCAGCACCACCGACACCTATACATAAGCCACCCAGACCACCACCATTCGGTGTGTGTGAATCAGTGCCAATCATAAGCAGCCCTGGAAAGGCATAATTCTCTAAAATAATTTGATGTATAATGCCACTACCTGGCTTCCAGAAACCCAATCCATATTTTTCACAAGTACTTGCTAAGAATTTATATACCTCTGCATTCAAATCATTGGCGCGTTTTAAATCTTCTTTAGCTCCAATTTGTGCTTCAATCAAGTGATCACAGTGCACGGTAGATGGTACTGCAACTTTTTTCAACCCTGATGAAATGAACTGCAGCAAAGCCATTTGAGCTGTCGCATCTTGCATAGCCACACGATCAGGGCGGAGATTAAGATAGGAAACACCACGTTTAAGGTTTCCATCTTCTGGTTTATCCAAATGAGAGTAAAGTATTTTTTCAGAAAGTGTTAAAGGACGTTTCAATTGACTGTAAACTATATCCAATTTTTTTGAAAGGTTTTCATAAGGCAGATAAATATTCTTATCAAATTTTGAAATCTGTACTTTCTCTAACGTCATGGCACTGATGTGAAATTTACGATGAAAGATAATTTTGCATAACGTGGATTTCAAAAGTTGTAGCATTCTTAACTTGTCTAGGTGGATTGAATTAATTAAAAGATATAATAAATATATATTAAATATTAAAAGTGAAGAGAAAAAATGTAAAACTTTCATAATACAAAAATTTTTAAAAAAAAAATTTTTTAAATTTTGACATTACTTTGTCAAGAAAACATTTTTATTTAAAATTTTATAATCGAATATTATTTTGTTTCACTTGTCAAATTGACGATTGTCAAATTGACGAAATAATCTGCTTTATATAAAAAATTTAGAAATCGAAGGAACTTTAAAATATGTAGTAGGAAATACTGACATAGGTATATACCTACCATACTTCGTTATTTCACCACATTTAAGAAAATTTTGCTCCACATTCTGAAACTCTATGAACTGATAATCTTTTTAAAGGATAATTGTAGTTGAAGTGATTTCGAACTACCGGGCGATTTAATTTACAGATTTTGATGAATTTCGATGTGCTGAGAAACTTTTTCGAATAATTAAAATGTCAATATAAAATCGTTTTTAAGATGTCAGACTTTCTTGACTGATATTAAAATTATTTGTTGGCAGTGCTATTAGAGCAGTGTTGACACTATATAAAAACTATAAACGCCATCTGGCGGCAAGTAATGCATGCAATTTTGCATTGATTGTACAAATGACAATTAAGTAATCAGATGCCACATTGACTACTTGGTGTTATTTATGCAAATTTACGAGTGAATATATTTCTCTAAATAATATCTATAATATCTCTCGAAATAAGCTATATTCATACATAGATTAGTGGAAATATTATAATAATTATAATTATTATAATTAATTATAATTACGAGTATTCGAGGAATAGATCTTATTTTAGAAGGTAAGGTATTAACCTGTTAGATTGATGCTAGCAATATACTTAGGCCTATTGTATTCTATTGTATTCTTGTATAAATTGTAAAGGGTTCAAAATCATTTCAAACTTTTAATGAAGCCCAACAAGAGGAGGCGTTGCAGACGAATCCTTTAAAAAATAAGTTCCTTTAAATTATTAGCGAAACTTGTTTATTATTTTTAAAATTAATTTAACTGAATTGACTTTAATTTATTGGAATTAAAAAACTTTTCCATGAAAGTTCTTTGCTACCGAATAAAGTGCAATTCCATTATTTTAAATTTAAAGTTGAGTTCAACTTTCGGTGTGAATGAAATTTAATCATCAGTAACAAATCTCATTTAAAAATGAATGCTTCATATGAGTAAGTTTATTATTGCTCTAAAGTTACACGAGTATGCATAGATATAAATTTGTTCATATGCGAAGAGAAATCTAATGTGAAAAAATTGGTTTAGCAGTGCGAAGTCGAGAAAGAAATAAACTTGTAGTAAAAAATTTATGACATTTTATTTCCTGTATCCTATATCCTGTGTGCAAGTAGTACTTATAGTCGTACTCAGGCAGTGTAAAAGGGTTAGCACATGAATAACGAAAAACATTGGTACTTGGTGGCGGTTAAGTTTTGACGATGATGACATGACCAAAAACGAACTTGAGGAAGAGTGACATAGTCTCACTCTAAACATGAAATGCGGAGTTATAAAATTCAAGTACATAAAATCTTAAACTTTATGACTTACTATATAAAAGTCAACATTAAATTTTGAGAGAGATTGTTGGATTAAAAATTTGAATCAAATAGTGTTGTAAGTTCAACGCTAAAACAACCTCACTTTATTCTACTAAAACTATATAGAAAGAAATGAAGAGCATAGATACATGTAAATTAAATAATAACGAAAAGTAAGGATATTTCATGTTGAGGGAGACTTACCATATATCAGTCAAGGGGTAGGTGCCCAGATATTCAGTACAAAATGAAATATGTTCCTCACTAACTTTTGCGAACGAGTTTATCGTAATCGCGACTGTGTAATGGAATATCGATATAGATAATAATACTTCTGTAAGAGGTTTATAGATCATTGTAGAAATTAGAGCTGCAGTAAGAGAATTCCATGAATATGATATCAAGCATTGATCCTCATAAGTGTAAGTTTAATATCGCTTGGCAAGAGTTACACATCAATAGTGTTATTGTTATTGCAGTAATATTTGCTGTCAGACTGTTACTGTAGTTAATGGTTGGATGAAATGGTATCCGTAGCAAGTGATCACGACGGCGAAAAGAATACTGCTAAGCGAGAGTTAAGAGATACAAGTCAATTGTACTGTTGGAATAAAATTTGCTGTGAGACTTGCGCTGTAGTTGATGGTTAGTTCATTGGTTTTAGTGGCGACAAAGCCTCCTTCGTAGTTTTTGTGAAATCTACTGTTGGAATTTCTTTGTGGGATTGTGTTTTAAACAATCACGGAAAATTTCTCCTCAGATGTATAAATTTTTTCTGTTTAGAACACGCTGATGAATGATGATGACGACCAATAAGAAAAGTGTGTACTCAAGAGGAGGTCGAAGATATTTCTCAAAACAAAAATATTTGACTTTGATCTAAGTTGGTGCGGAGTTGCGAAGGGTATTTTTCGAACCCAGTGGGCCTGAATATGACATTCTGATATTGAACGCTAGAAACGCGATAGTGTTTCGGACAAAGTACAACCTCAAGGTACTGAGGTAAAAATTAATCGTAAATGTATTAAAAGATCTTATTCGGTCTAGACGTTTATTTGTTGTTTATTATTTATTCGATTTGGAGTTCATCAGCATCTCTACTCTATGTTGTGAGTGGGCTTGTTAACGTCTCGTTGAAAATAACTTTTAACGGTTGTTAGGTTGGGACGAATCTTTAGCAGGTCTAATATTGAATTGAGATGGTTATATCTTTTATCGAAGAGTTTCAGTACGTTGTCATCAAATATTTTTCAACTATAACAATCTGAAGGTTCTATAAAGATTCGTAATTCTGATGTACCAGAAACATTCACTATTATTTTCAACGTTATGTTTAGCAGATTTGCAGTAAAATGATAGACTTTCATATAAAAACTTCAGTGCAATATGTATTATTATAATTTTTTAACTGAAGTGTAAATAAATTTCATATTTCATATTTCATTTTTTTGCATGTAATTTAAATAATATTATAAAATTTTAATTTTTATCATTTTCTTTTTTCTTGCAGGCCTCGCAACTTGCCAGCGTGGTAAGTACTTCTCACATATTTTTGCTGTGCGATTGACACATCTTGAATACACTGTATTTTCGCATATCAGATCATTGTTCGACAACATCTTTACACAGTTTTACATAATTTAACAGAGTTTAACCCATAAGCAGCAGGCACAATTAAATTTAAATTTACAACTGCCAACTCAGACGGATACTTGAAATCACACACGTGTTTACATATCAGGAAATCGACTGGTACTTCGTATTTGCCCATATTATGTAGTGCAGTTTTTCCTGCGACCTGCCAGGCGCTGAACGCTTGAGTCTTGTATTCTGGAATTTTTGCATTTTTCCATTATTATTAAATATTTTTATTTTTTTCCATTCTTCTGGCTTTTTTTGTATTTTTTTATATGATAAAATGAAATTGAAATATTTCACTTTGGCAGCAAACTGAGTTGACAGGGTCGTCTTCGGTTCGGTTCGCTCGCCTGCACTTCATCCGTTGATTTCATAATTCACTCATTCAAGCGCTTCCTTCCGTACGCCAGGATAACATCAACATAAATTCATCGTTTTCCTGGATTTATATACGTAATGCACTCACTGCATGCATATTTTTTCATACTTTTATTTGCTTATTCAAATAAATATTCTTACATTTCTGTATTGTAAACTGAAGTGTGAGTCAGGATATGCCGGAATTTACAGCGATACGTGTTTAAATAAGTTGCCTTTCCGTATCGACAGTAATGCGATTTTGTTGTCTGCATTTTTCTTCCTTCTTTTTCGATGTTTTGCAATGTTTTAAGAAAAACATTTTTCACAAATTGAAATCTTTTTTATTTACTCTAATTTGTAAACGCAAGAAAATTGCATTGCGGAACTGTTAAAATATTATCTAGTTCAATTTGTTGTATATTACTTATATATCTGCAGTGGGGTCTCTTCATTTTGCTTATCATCGAGTAGAGTTTTTACACTCCAGGTAAAAAAAGGAACTTTTGGAAATAATAAATTAAATCTTATATATAACAGAACATTCGCAATCTCTTGACGAATTTTGCTATTAATTAGGATAAATTTGTAGAGATTGAAAATAGGCTACTTACTATCGTATCTGACGATATCTACTCAATGATTCTCCACTTTACTCAATAATTTTAGCAACAAAGCCTCTTTGATATATTAATTTCAATGTTTATCTAACATATCATTTCTACAGAAAGTAGAACGATTTATATTTGGTCTCAAAACAAGCTACATTATCAGTAACCAATACTTTATTGGAAGTAAACCCATCTCTTGGGGTATTTTTAAAGTTCAGTTCAGTTCAGTTTGTTTTGCAAACTAGTAGTAGTTGCTGTAAATCGGAATTTAAAGATCAAATACTGCAAATATTACTATGCTGCGATCAATTTACGACATAATGCATATCTGAATGGGAGAAAAGAGATTACGTTCTTCAAAGTCACAGAATAGTTTAGGTCCTACAAGCATTAAGGCTGCCACATTTTTTTTTGACAAGTTTGTTCGTAACTACGTTGGCCTAAATTTCAACGTGACCCGCAACTTTCAGATTCTTTATTTGATTGTTTTAGCCAAGGATATTCAACTTTCCGCGATAACCTGCATCAGTCTTAAAATCAGCTGATGAGAATTGACTGCGTTTATTGCATCCTAGCTATCAGTAAGTTCATTTGAGCACAACATTATTAAATGTGCGTTCTAGATAGTATTTATACTTCGTTCTAAGAGAGACGTCTTAAAATTGAATATGTATAAATCCGTAACAAAGTTTTTCAAAAGTTGAAGATTTCGTGCTAAAAATCTCAATTCATTTATAGTACTTGATATTTCATTTGTAATTGTTCTACGCCATTTTTTGGTCGTCTTCTATTTCTGTAGCCTTGAGGGTTCCAGGACACTTTTTCCATTGATTTTTGGCCAGTGCTGCGCCATAGTTGACCATTTGTGTTCATTCTGGGGTACAAGATTCTTACCGAATGCCTCGGTAAATATCTAAAAGGGAATCCTCTCCTCATCTATAAGACTTTTTTTGCGTCCATTGGAGAACAAATTTATATTTTATTGGTTTTGATTATATTTTTCTCTTTTACTTAGTGCTGTTGACTGGCACTTTGTCTTTTGCTTATATTAAAGTATTTATTTCAGCTACGTTGAGCACTGACTATTTAAGTGAGTTAAGTAAAGTTTTCTATTTTATAATTTATGTAAATTTAAATTGTAAAAAAAGACATTATTATGTTGAGGCTAGTTGAGTCTGTGCCCTTAAGCACTTCTACTCTCTATTAACTGCGAGGTATCTGCAAAACACCTCTTTACACCCTGACTGGTTTATTATTAATCACTTCATCAGATTAAGCAATAATTGACCTCAGATCTGCATACCTCCCCGAGGAGCCTGTAACCAATCTGAGATTCGATAACGTTTTGGCCATGTGTTATTTAATGACCTTAAATTTTAATTTTAATTATTAATGATTTAATAACTAATGTAAATGAAATTGAGAATATTTGTGTATCTCAATGTAAATATATATAATTAACAATATTTTTGTTGTTGTTATTAAATTCATCTCCTTGAATTATAATGTTTTAAAATATTATACAAATAAATTCCACATGAATTCCTATTATATTTGACAACAAATAAATTTTAACAACATCTATAATTATTTTGTGGATTTTTATATGAAAGGGCATAAATATTAATTACTTGAAATGTATATAAAAATGTTGCCATTGAAATGAAATTGCGACCGTTGCCGTGTATAAAATCGTAATTATGAGCGTTAAAAACTGGCATAAAAAATCGTTACGTTTACTGCGAAAACATAAAACTTTCATGTTTTTTTTGCAGTGTTTTCTGCAAACTTGGACATAAAATCTTCTGACTGAACACTGAAGCGCTGCTCTCAAGTCAAGAGGTGCTCCAAGGACGTGAATTACGATTTTTATTATGGTTTGGCATTTTTGTTGGTGGCAGTAATATTTATAACTTAAGTTCAAAAATATATACAAAAATATTTCTCTTATAAACATTTTCTTTTCTCCTTTTTTTAATAAACAAAAAGGCATTGAAATTTTGTTTGAAAAAATGCAAAACAAAAAAAAGCAATGTTTAAACGAAAAGGCTCATCTAAATAGAAATCGGGGGGAAAAACGTGAAAAATGTGCAAAAAGTGAAAAAATAAAAATGAGAAGAAAGTGAGGAAAGTGAGGAAAAAAGTAGTAAAGGAAATTGATATAACAAGCAAACGAAAGCAAATTTGCCAGGGTAACAAACATGAAATAAATTGGGCGTCGAGTAGTTCTCAATGAAACGGAAAAGGAAAATGGGTTTTTTAAATGCTGACGAAATACGAAATCCAAAAGAAAACAAACTCAAGTTATAAAAAAAAAATGAAAAAAAAATATAAAATAGAATAAGAAAAACTGAACAATAAAACACGCAAAATCAGTGCTGCGAATGCACTTAACCATATTGAGGAATTTATGGACAGACGAGAAGGACGAAGAAGATTGAGAAAAGAAATAAAAATGGCACTATTATGTTCAATAAATATTGTTCAAACAGCAATATTTAGAAAATAAAAAGAGTCTGTAGAGCTCATATTCTAGTATTCCATAAAAATATTATTATTCTTGTTGTGGAACTACAAGTAAATCAATGCATCTCAATCTAATATAATTTTTTATTGCCGTTAGATCAAAACATCATATTTCACCCAAAATAGATGCATAACAATAATAACAAAGGACATCTGTTTTATGTTAATGTTTATATATATACAAAAAATATAGTAGTATATTATTAGAAGTATTCGATTGTGAAAAATAAAAAGTGTCCAATGATAGCTTGAAAAGGAAATAGCACTTCGAACAGATATTTTTTAAGAGTATTGCAGTTTTTTAAATATCTCGGACTATCTTAAAATTAGTCCTATGATAAATTTAATCTTCTTCTTGAAGATAATCTTCCTCGAACTTATGTCGTATCACATAAAATCGACTGCGTATCTTTTGAGTTAGGTGTTAAGCGTTCATACCTCCTTTTTGGTGGACATCTTTCAGACCGCTGGGTCTTTACAGTTTCAATCATTGCTGATTTGTCATGAAGTTATCTGGCATTCCACTTTGTATTGTGTATTATATATAGTATTGTGATGAATATGTCGTCATATTTTGTAGTTGCTCATTATGTCTTAATGAGTAATCTTGTATAGTTTAGCTCTGGTTACGATATTATATATCAGCACTGATTGCACGCAAGACTGGTATATAAGTATTTGTAGTTCAATTTTTGTCGAGCCGAAAAGAATCGTGTTTGGGTTTACGTACCTCTAGGAAGCTGATTAAATCTGATATACTATGTTTTCAGTCTAACAGATGAATTTGGTAATCTTGTATAGTTCTTTTCAGTCTAACAGATAAAGTTAGTGAAAAAATACAAGAGTTTTTGTATTTTTGAAGTTATGAAAAACGAAAGTTACAACGAAAGTATTTTATTCAAAATAATTACACTTTATTTAAGAAATTAAAATTTTAATAAATCGAAAATCGAAAATAAAACGCGTGCTGTTCACTTGGGACTTGAAATGCAAGAGAGAGAATCAAAAAACCCAGTTCAGTCTGGGAGCTAAAAAACTGTATAAAATTAAAGTTGTTGTTTTTTTTAAGATTACCGTATGTAATGTGCAAGGTTGACGAAAGTCAACATTGGGTTGCATATTAACAATAAAAATGAGCAGCACGCGTTTTATTTTAACTACTTTAAACAAAAAATGCAATATAAAAATGAAAACATTCAACACCGGCCGCGTTGAAGCACTCTTATGTGTTCAATTTTCCGGGAGCACCGCCAATTTATGTACTGGACGTCTCACAATCCCGTTGCTGGTATTGACGTCAACGACCCTGACCTTATTGTCGCGACCTTCCACCCTTCCGAGCTTCCACTGGTGAGAGGGAAGGTTCTCTTCTTGGACGACGACTAGTCGGCCGACTGCGAGATTCGGCTGCTCGAACACCCACTTGTTCTTGGGCTGCAGCTGTAGGATGTAATCTTTCGACCAGGCCTGCCAAAACCTCCGTTTGAGCTCGCATAACAGACGCCAACGTTTCAAAGTGGTCAATTTGTTGTCGGAGACGCCTTGCGCGGATTCTTGCGGCAGCGTGTGGAGAGTACCTCCTATCAACAGGTGTGCTGGTGTTAGCGCCTCTTTGTCGTTCGGGTCTTGACTCAATGGACTGAGTGGCCGAGAATTTAGCAGGGCTTCTACCTCTACGAGCACTGTTTGCAGTTCTTCGCTGGTAAGAAGCGCACTGTTGGTTGTTCGTTGTATGTGGTGTTTTGCCGACTTTACCGCCGCTTCCCATAATCCTCCGAAATGAGGTGCCCTGGGTGGTATGAAGACAAACTCTATGCCCCTTTGTGCAGCATAGTATGCCAGATCGTCCTTGTGCTCTCGAAACGCCTCTATCAGCTCTCTCAGCTTGCGATCGGCACCTACAAAATTTGTCGCATTGTCGCAATAGATTTTTTCTGGGAGTCCTCGTCTTCCGGCAAACCTTTTAAGACAAAAAATAAAACAGTTAGTTGTCAGATCTGTTACAAGTTCTAAATGTATAGCCTTTGACGTGAAACAAACACTGCGATATACATTTTAACTGGTGGTCGACCACGAATTTTCAAAGTGGTGTATACAGGCCCACAAAAATCGACACCGCTAATTAAAAAGGGTCGTAGTGCCTTTAACCGATCTGCAGGTAAGTTTCCCATTACTTGGGTCAACAGCTTAGGTTTGTATCGAAAACAATGTATGCATGCTCTTACGGTTTTACTGCATGCCTTGCTTGAATTTATGACCCAAATTTTTTCACGAAGCAGCACTTCTAAGGCTTTTGGACCAGCATGACAATTGGTTGTATGGAGAAATCGTAAATAAATCTCGACAAAATGCAATTTTTTAGGTAACAGCAAGGGAAATTTTGAATCATAAGACAGTGGTGCGTTTAGTAGACGACCTCCTACACGAAGCAAATTGCATGTTCGAGAACCATCTTGGACTGTATGAATGAATGGAGTTAGTTTTTGAATGCTGACTGGTAATTTATGCGACTTCTTCATTTTTTCGATTTCTTCCTTGAATTCGTGATTTTGAATAAATTCAACGATTTTCAAGAATGCCCAATTAAGCTCCTTTGATGTCGGAATAAGAGCGTTGGCTCTCTCATTTTTCTTAGTGATAAAACGTAGAATGTACGCGAAAATTCTCAGCAGTCTTGGGTAAGATGATTGGCTACAGATTAGTTTTGAAATGACATTAGTTTCAATTTCAACTGCTAAAAGTCCGACCTTGACCTTTCGTTTCTCTAAACTTTTCTCATCTGTTGATAGTGGAAAATGACTATTTTTTGGCCAGTTAGTGGCATCTTGAAGCAAATATGATGGACCACGAAACCAAATTGAGTGAATCAACTCATCTACATCACATCCTCTGGAGACTAAGTCTGCAGGATTTAGCTTTGATGGAACGTGTCTCCAAAGAACTTCGCTCGTCCATTCTTGGATCTCTGCAACTCTGTTTGCTACAAATGTTGCTAAAGTAGATGGGTGAGTTTTAATCCAATGAAGTGTAATTTCAGAGTCCGTCCAAAAATAAACATTCCCGATTTCGCAAGTAATCAACTGCTGAATTCGAGACCATAGTTTAGCCAATAAATGAGCGGCACACAGCTCTAATCTGGGTAATGATTTTGTGCTTAAAGGAGCAACCTTAGATTTGGCAGTTAACAATTCAGAATGAATCCCATTCGAATCATGAATTCGGACGTAGATGCAACAGCCGTACGCTCTCATTGACGCATCGGCGAAACCGTGAATATCGCATTTTATATTTGAATGAATATGAACATACCGCGGAATGGAAATAGAGTCCATCTGAGTCAGGTTGCTTTTAAATGCTTGCCAGCTAGAATCGAGATGCATAGGAATTGACTCATCCCAGTCAAGCTTCTGAAGCCAAAGTTCTTGCAATAAAATTTTTGCCTTAGTCACTATTGGGCATACTAGTCCGAGGGGATCGAAGAGTCGAGCTGATACTGATAGTATGTTTCTTTTTGTTGCTCGCAAGTCATGAAACTTTTCGTCTACATGGAACTTAAGCGTATCATTTTGGGGAATCCAGTGTATACCTAGCGCCTTTGTGGAATCAGTATTATTAACATTTAGAAAGAAGTCTGACGAGTCATACGTTTTATGGTTTGAAAACCATTTCGCTAATTTAAGTCCAGCCGCATCAAGAATTTCAGTACATTGGGTACGAATTGTTTCCAGTTCCTTCAGACTGTCAGCTCCAGTCAATAGGTCATCGACATAGAAGTCATGTCGGATAACCCTTGCTCCAACTGAATGAGAATTCTTGTACAGGTCACTTAAGTAGTTTAGGAAAGGAGCAGGTGACGTACCATATGTCACTGTGTTCAGTTTATAAACGCTAATCTGATCCGTAGGTTTTTTCCTCCAGAGAATAAGCTTGAAATTGCGATCTGCCTCGTCAACTTCGATTTGACGGTACATTTTTGTAATGTCAGCAGTCATCGCGTATTTGTGCATACGAAAGCGAAGTAGGATTGAATACAATTCTTCTTGTACCGTTGGACCAACCATTAGAATGTCGTTCAACGACACTTGTGAAGATGTTCGGCATGAAGCATCGAACACGACGCGAAGTTTTGTCGAGGTACTCTGAGGTCGCAACACACACTGATGCGGTATATAGTAATGAGGTGTCGAAGAAAAGTTGTCAGTAGTTAATGTCATGTGACCTAAGTCACGATACTCTGCCATAAACTCCATATACAGCTTCTGAAGCATACAGTCTTTCGACAACCTGCGTTCCAGTGAGAGAAAACGATTTTTTGCTGTTTCATATGACTGACCTAGAAGGTTGGGGTTGGACTTGAAAGGAAGCTGCACCTTAAGCCTCCCTGAAGGTAAGCGTAAAATTGTGTTGAGAAACATGGTCTCACAGTGTTGTTGTTCTATTGTGTATTTTTTGACAGTGAGCTCCTTGGGAATTTCTTCCAATTCCCAGAATTTTTTCACAAGAGAGTTTAAGCAG